CCTGAAACGGAAGGGATGCCACCTGCCCCATCTTTTGCACAACTGTCACAACCCCTCCCACCTCCCAGCCCATTCCCGTCTGCCCCTGTCCTCAAGTCTCACCCCAGCCTCTTCCAGCCCACGCTCTCTGCCCTCGCCACCAGCCTCCCTGCCTGGTCCTGTCTATCCTGGCTGCCACCCCAGGAACTGCCCACATTGCCCCTGGTCCCCACGTGTCCCCTTCACCCCCATGGGTCCGTACCTTGCCTCTGGTCATAGGCTTCTTGTGAGATCGTGTATTTCTCCACCCTGGACACGTCCTCATACTCCCCAAGGCGGGCACCACTGCGGTCAATAACCTGTGGTGAGGGAGGGAGGTCAGTGGGGAGCAGGCTCCGGGCAGGGAGGTCTGGGGCTCTGGGAAGCAGTTGCACTTTGCAGTATTCTGTAGTTTTAAGTCTTTCCTGTCTGGGAAAAGACATATTTATCTTCCCTTGCCTTTTCCGCATGCAGCTTTCTCTCCTGAGTTCAGCATAAAGAGCAAACACGGGCAACCCCCTTGGATCCCCTCACACTGTGGGAGCTTTTCTGTCCTCTAATAAATCCTGCTTTCTAAGAAAAACAAAAACAAAAACGAAAACAGGTGTCTGTACTGGCCATCTCCCCTTCCTCATCCCCATTCAAGCTCCTGGAGGCTGCCTCTGTCCCCAGAAGTCCCCCACATGTTTTATCAACATCACTGATGACCTGGAAGCCACTGAGTCCAACTGGCAGAGTTCAGGCTTTACACAGCCCTCTGGGCAGTGCATTTACCCTCTCTGGACCTCTGGGACTACATAACCTGACCCCAACCTCTAGATGCCAGAGCATCTCCTCCGGTATGTGCTCCAATATTCATTCACTAGTCACTATGGAGTTCCGTTAGGCCCTGTAATGGGCACTGTGAACACGGTGCAAAAACAGACACACCTGGCCCTCAAGCAGTGCTCACTCTGCTGGAGACCATAAACGGAGAAGAGGCATGGAAGACGGGCTATGGAAAAAAAATACAACAGAAGAGGCTTAAGGATCATGGGAGGGTGGTGAGGGCAGGGTTCTGAAAGTAGGACATCTGAGCCAAGGCCTGAGGGATGAGAAGAACAGCAGGTTCAAAGGGCCAGAGGTAGGAATGTCCCTGGCCTTTTAGTGTGTGTGTGTTTTTTTTTTGAGTTGGAGTCTCACTCTGTCGCCCAGACTGGAGTGCAGTGGATGCTCCCAGCCACCACAGCCTTGACCTGCTGGGCTCCGGCGATCCTTCTACCTCAGCCTTCCGAGTAGCCGGAATTACAGGCATGTGCTACCACACCCGGCTAGTTTTTTGGTTTATTGTAGAGATGAGGTCTCACCAAGTTGCCCAGGTGAGTCTCGAACCCGCAGGCTCAGACAATCCACTCACCTCAGCCTCCCAAAGGGATTACAGGCTGAGCCACCTAGCCCAGCTTGTCCTTGGCCTTTTAGAGAGGGTGGTATGGGTGGGCTAGAGTGAGCCAGAGGGAGAGTAGGAGGCACAACGGATCACTGTGGACTTTGGTTTTTCCCTGGAGTGAGACGTAGCCAGGGCAGGATGCTGAGCCAGGAGGGCCCTGACCTGACTCGATTAGTCACAGGCTCACTTTGGCTGTGAGTGGGCAGCAGGGAGGCCAGGGAGGAGGCTGCTGTGATGAGGAGGGGTGTGGACGCTGGGCCAAAGTGGGGACAGTGAAAGGGGAGAACTGAGATTCTAGAGAGATTTTTTAGGTGGAGCCAACAGGGTATGCAGACAGACTGGATGTGAGTATTAGAGAAAGAAAAAGGTCAAGGACAACCCCAAGGTGTTTGGCCTGAACCACTGGGCCAACATGGCAACATAGAAATGGCCCTTATCTCCAGATCAAGGGTCCCTGAGATTTCTACTTTCTATGTTAGGGATTTCTGTCAAGGTGAAGTTCTGCTATTTTAAACAATGAACGTGGGTGATATTAAAAAACAAAAAGAATTTTAGAAAAAGTAAAAGTTCCCCAGAGGCTCCACCTCTGGGACACCTTCCTAGAATGTCCAAGGAAGTCAGAGGCCTGTCTGTATCTGAATCCCCCTGGTGTGAAACCCTTCTGTCTGAGGAAACCACTGCTTATGCCTGACCCACTCAGATTCCCAGGCTGAGGCTGCCCAGGTCAGCCCAAAGGCTCAGTCCTATGCACCTGGCAGAGTACTGACACACCTGCTACAGTCCAGGCCTCATCACCCCATTTGGACTATCCCAGCAGCCTCCTCCATGTCTCTCTAGTCTTCTTGTCCTCCACATGCAGCCAGAGGGACCTGTGAACACTTGAGTCAGATCAGGGTCTCCTGGCTCACAGTCCATCCTTAGGTCCCTTGTACCCACCATGCTTCCTCCTTGCATATGCTGTGCCCTCCTTCTGGGGCACAATTTCCCTTCTTCAGTCAACTTTCTCTATTCTTCACGTTTCTGCTCAGGTAGGACTTTCTCTAGGAAGTCCTCCCAGACTTCACTGATGGGTCAAGCATCCCAGTATACTATGGTCTTCCAGCTCCACGGTCTCCTCCTACCTGGCCCTTGTCACCACTGACCCTTCACAGTTGGTCCTTTAGCTAACATCTACCTCATATACTGGACATAACTAAAACAGGGACACTCATTCCTCATCTTCTCAGATGTGGCTCACACCTATACTCCTGGAATAATGTAGATGTTCAGTGAACATTTACTGAATAAATGACAGAGAAAAAAAACCAGTTTTCCAGGCACACTGACTTCTGGAGTCATGCAGAGTGGGGTCAAAATCCTAGTGACAGCTCATCTTTAAGGAAATAAATTCCACCCTGAAACTAAGTTTTCTCTTCTGCAAAGTGGGGATAATTTTTTTTTTTTTTTTGAGTTGGAGTCTTACTCTGTTGCCCAGACTGAAGTGCAGTGGCTGCTCCCGGCCACCACAGCCTTGACCTGCTGGGCTCCGGCGATCCTTCCACCTCAGCCTTCCAAGTAGCTGCAATTACAGGCATGTGCTACCACACCGGGCTGATTTTTTGATTTATTATAGAGATGAGGTCTCGCTGTCCAGGCGGGTCTCGAACCCACGGGCACAGGCAATCCACTCACCTCAGCCTCCCAAAGGCGCGGGACTATAGGCTGAGCCACCGAGCCTGGCTAAAGTGGGGATAATTATAACATCTCTCCAGTCTTGTTTTCTGGATTCAACTAATCATTCAACAATGATTCACTGAGTATCCTCTCTGTGCCAGGCACTATTCCAGGTGCTGGGGACACAGCAGTGAACTAGAGTGAGGAAAATTTCTGCCCTCATGGCACTCTAATTGGGGAAGACAGACAATAAACAAACTAGATCAATGAGAAAATCCAGAGCATGTCAGAGGGTGGGAAGAGTTGAGGACAAAAATCTAAAATAAAGCAAAAAAAAAAAAAAAAAGAGCAAGAGATAAGGTTAAAATTGTGTAGTACTGAGGCTGATGAAAGCTTCACTAGAGAGGTGTGACTGGAAGAGGGAGGGTGAGCCTGGAGAATATAGTACATGCAAAGGCCCTGAGGTAGAACTCACTTGGGATGTCTAAGGAGCAATGTGGCTGGTACAGACTGAGTGAGGTGATGCGGGGGAGAGGTGGGGTGGCAATATGGACAGAAAGAACAATGTCAGCTGATGCATGCTGAGGTTCTCTGTGTCCTGGCTTCTGCCAGCCTGTCCAGTCTCATCACTCACCATGATCCATCTGTTCCTTCAGGCCACTGTACACTCTGTTCCTGCCACCTGGCATGTCCTTCCCCCCTTTTCTCCTAGGTCACTCCTCATCTTTTAGGTCTCAGATCAGACATTTGTTTCTCCAGGAAGCCCTCTCTGATTCTCCCAGGTGGAGTCAGGCACTTCTTCAGGGTGTCCCCAGTCCCCCAGGCTTTCCCCATCCCAGCCCAGGCCACTCTGGGCTGTTCCTGTCTAGTGACTAGTCTGTCTCTCACCATGCTGGACTGGGGGCTCCATGAGGGCAGGGCCTATCTTGGATACCACCAAGGGCAACGCACAGCAAATATGTGTTGAGTAAATAAATGAGTGTGGGGAGGGTTCCAGGTAGGGAGGGCTCACGTGGATGCGGCAGCCGTCATCTACCGGGTACGAGCCCAGCAATGCATCCTCCTGATCCAACTTGCTGTAGAACTTGTCGTCAGCTCCATACAGCTCCAGGTCCATGCAGGAAGCAGGGCTGCCCACCACCAGCTCCAGTTTACACTGCGAGGAGGGAACAGGGTGAGGAGAACGGCCGCCAGTGCCCCCCCCACCGTCTCTGAGGCCCCGCCCCTCGCATCGGTAACCATCACATCCCGGCTGCTCCAAAAGACCCACCACTCGGGCCACACCGGGTCCGCCCCTCCCGGGCGCCCGCCCCTCTGCTCTCACCCCCGCCCTCGGGACTACCTGATTTATCCCCGGCCCCGCCCCCAACCTCCGGAATCTGGGGGTCTCTCTGGCCCCGCCCCGCCGCGGCCCCTTCCCGGGTCTCCGCAACCTCGGATTATCTCTGGCC